CCATTAAGAGTATCGTTCACAACTTTCTTGATACTACTGAAAGAGTTCAGCGGAAACGAGACATGTGTGGTCCATGCGTCCCTACAACATGCAAGAAACCGTTTCCAAAAGCGCGGCTTGCCCTAAAGGAAGTAAGCAAACCAGCCCTTTTGGCGTTTCTGCTGGGGCCGTATGCTGAATGTTGGGGAGGGGATGGGGTCCCCGACGGTCGACGGACTACTTCAACTCGGTCCTTAAAACCGCCTCAATTTGATGCTTACCTCAGGACTAAGCCTTAAAGAAAGAGAGGACGGACCTGCGAGAGAGCGCAGGTCCGTCCTCTCTCCAAGGCTTAGTCCTGGGTAAGCAAACCAGCCCTTTTGGCGGAGCTGCTGGACCTAGCTGCACCACTTCGTCATCACTCTCCTACCGTACCGACCGAGTTCAAGTAGTCCGTCGACCTCGGGGACCCCATCCCCTCCCCAACATTCAGCATACGGCCCCAGCAGAAACGCCAAAAGGGCTGGTTTGCTTACCTCACCTGCAAGTACCCCCCACCCTCATTGTTAGATGCATAATTCAAAGGCTGATTAGCGCTTGTTGGTTGAGATCTAGCCCACTCCCTCTTCCTCACTGATAGGCTAGACTATCACGAACTAGTGTGGTGCTCATGAGGGTCTTTGTTCTACGACCAAAGATAATTTATACCGGTGGAGAAATCCTAAATCGTGCACGGATTTCAGTGCTTCTATAATTTGCATTCCAACGCGTACTGTCTGTAATGGTTCTGAATTATTCTGTTATTTATTGTTGAAGAATCATTCATATAAACAAAACATAGAATATGACCGACTGTTCATTAATCTCGGCATGATTATAGTAATATTCCGCGTTTGCTGTTTCAGCCTTTAAGATTGATACAGAATTATTGACTAAAATTCCTGCAAAATCGCCTTCGGGGTGCCCCCTACAGCTCCGTCATTGTGAAAGGCTTCGAAGAAGGTCATTTTGCCAAAACTTTAGTCAACAATTTTGTATCTATCTCAGACATTCTGCTAATACACGTTTCATAACTTCTGTAATCATCTAAAGGCTGGAACCATCAAACACTGATTATTACAGTCACGATATTTAGACGAATATGCGGCTAATGTTGATTTCTTATTGGGCAAGACGTCAGTGACGACGTGGTCCGGTAAGGACAGGAATGATGGCGCGGTGGCTCTGGGTGCCTGGTCTTGCGAACACGCGATCTGCTTTCCAGATGTTTTGTTATAGAGATTAAATCTCCAGTATTCTGAGGCACCGGCTTTGGGACGGCGTGATTCGATATAGAATCACGGTGGACGCGCTCACAAAATCGCACCCATCCCACGTGATCGAAAAAAGCAAAAAAGCGCACTACCATCAATGTGTTAATAAAATTAGGAGCTTGCAGTAAAAGAAGAATTCTGGAGAATGTGCCAGGCGCAGAGCATTCGCTTTTCGCGCAAGATTTTTACACCATTACAACCTCACTAGGGGCAGAATTGGGCAAAATGATCGGGGGTGATGTACTCACGGGTGAGTTGGGCGGAGTGCTGAGAGTTTTAGGCCCTCGGCCCAAAAAAGCCTCCTCCCACTCCCTGACGATGAGTACACAGCGCTGATCAGATAGGGCTAAGTCCTAGTAGGGACTAGATAGAGATGTGTGAGCAGTTTTTTCCCAAAGTTCGTCCCCTCCTAGCTTCAGTCCACATGGCGTTGCTCCCCCTCCCCCTCGCAAACCTGACCTGAGTACAATAGCGCCTCACTGCGTACTGTCAGACCCTCACAAAATCTCCTACCGTGTGCACACTGAAGCGACGATCTGCTTGTGCTTTTCGTAGTTCTGTCAGATTTCGTCCTAACATTTGCATGACGATAAAATTGTAGTTGTTCAGCCATCCCGAGGCATACTGAAATCAGCAGCGAAGTCCCTTACAAGTCCTTGATTGCCATGAACTCTTTAGACCTCTGAAGCACAAGAAATGCTAACCAGTTTCGGCGAATGCCGTGTACCGACAAGTTTTGTGAGGACCATCTGCTCGAGCACCATGCGGCCAGCGTCTTCCGACTGCGGTTCCACCTTCGCTGCCACTACCGTACCCATGTCCTGGAATTAGATACATCAACTATTTGTCCGTCTCCACGGGAAGAGGTGACAACTTGAACTGGCTCACTATGTCTATAGCTCTGTAGATCTGGCCGAAACCTCCACCGCCGATCATTCTTCTCAAGACGGTACTTTTTCGATAGCAATGTTCCTCGATCCAAATATTGTGGCGCGTTTTTGCCTCGTACCTGCAACAGTTCGATATTTGTTTCTTATGACGGTTAGTCAAAGAAGATCAGTGAGCGTACCTTTGAGTGACTTGCGTGCTGCGCTTGATCTTTCGCATATGCGGCTTCCACATCGGCCATGCGCCTCTCATGCTAAACCACAGGAACGTATCAATGGGCTACTATCATAGCACATGCTAACAGAGCATAGAATAGCGTTTCAAGCTCAAGTTCTAGGCAGAAGTTGGGATTGTAAAGCCTTTCAGTCGCTTAAGAACACATTCCACGAACAGTAAGGTGCGGTAGTGGAATTCAAATATGGAATGGTACGTGCTGCGTGGCCCATCAGTGGAGAAGGAAGCAGAAGAAACCGCCGAAGAACCAGCATCTGAGCCCTGTTCTTTACAGCTCGTTAAGCCATTGCACGAGTTTATATCGGATAAGCTAACAACAGGTGGGAAAGACGACGAAGAAACGGGGAATGAAGTAACAGGAGAGACGAGAGACACGACCACAAACCTTGTCGCATTCATTTCAGAGTAGTGGTGAGCTTGCACTAAGAACAGCGAAACAAGCCTTTGGAGCCGGGAGAGCGGTCAACAGGATCGTCCGAGAGTGACGTCACCGCACGCGGCCACTTGCGCGGCGTCGCGACGCGGCACCTTTCCGATGGACGCGGCAATTTTTGAATTTGACGACTGGAGCTCACGATAACCTATATGGAATGCGCCAGTCCGTCGAGTTGGAGCCAGACTGGACCGTACGTGCTATCCTTTCTTCCTTTTCAAGAGGTGGCGCGAAAGAGTTTGTTTACAAAGTTTATTATCGTAACATTCAAAAAAACAGCGAAGGAGACCTATAAAGAACTAAAATTATCCGCGCATTGATTAAATTCTGAATGTTAAAGGGATGGGTCGACTTGATGTCTCTTTGACATTCAATTTCGAATGATACTGGGCAGAAACTCTCCACAGCAGCGCTGAGGTCGGCAAGACACGACCCATGACGAGGGGCTCCGGACAATTCTGTTGACACACACCCTTGAAGCTTCGGCTGCCAGAATCGACGCAGCCTCTGCGCTCGCGAGAGCGCTGCCCACTATACACTTTGAGAGTTTTGTACTCCGCTCATATTTTGCATGGGCTATTGTTACATCTGCGATCCCATAATCGAACCCCGTCGAACCATCTGGATTCTGCCCATTTAGAATATTCTCTTTCAGGAACGGATATTCCGTTACCTTCAAAGGAATCTGAGAACAGATGCTAAACGAAACGGGATTCAAGAACTATGTGTTTGCTCAATGAGTCCGTCGGCAGGTTTCCGGCACGTGTTACGCTTTGACACGGAAATTTGGTGGAATTTTCCTTATTCTGCTCTGCTTCGTTGTAGATTGCCTCACGGTGCACTATGGAGGGGGGGGGGAGGAGTGGATCGCGGCGCAGTAGTTCATTCCTCAACAGTAATTCAATTGTTCCGCAAGGGAAGGAAGATGCGAGGTGCGTGAAGGGGAATAAGCGAGTATCAAAACGGAGTTATTTGTCGTGGTTCGAAAGCATTGAATGGTCTACGCCGCGATGTCCCCCTCCCCTCTAACCCTCTTCATTCAACTAGCGCCCATGTGAATTCTGTCTCGATCCACATATGGTCCTTTTTGATGTAAGCGAGGGAAGTCCATTATTCATGTTGGCGAAAACTGCGCTCTGGTTCAACGTTTACCATCTGACAGGATTTTGACAGTCTATCGCATCTGGCTGCCTTCGTCTCACGACGTACTGTAATGCTGCGGCCAAAAATCACTATGACAGCCAATTTTCGGTTGCTGACTGACTCTTCCATCATTTCGGGAGCTAGTTCGCCCCGGCAGGACACTAACACGACTTCTAGACCTCTCGACACATCGACCGAGAGTGCCCACCTCGAAACGGTAGAACCACTGCTTGCATGTGACGAATGAGACGATATCATCGCCATAAACATCCCGTAGTTTGCGATAAGCGGCTTCATCAGTCTTTCCACAGTGAAACATGAAGAGCAGAACGTGATACTGATGGTTGCGACTAGGGGGAGCGTGTGACATCCTGTCTCACTAAATGAAGAGCAGTGAGGTCGGGCACTCGATGGAAGCCTTTAGTAGAAGAGCTAATGAGGCAGATCGCATGCATAAATCTAACCAGTGCTATTTCAGTTTAGAAAACGTTCACAGTTCACTGTAGGCAATAAATAGGCAGTTGGTTGGTGAGTTGGGAAAGCAGCAGAATTACTGAAACCGTGGGGGTAGACCAAAGGGCAAGCTTTGCTTCACGAGTTGAAATAACCGCTCCCCTGGAGTCGAGATTCTCCCACGGTTCTACCTGTTACACTTGCCTGGGCATTGGGCAGCGTTCAGAGTTGATGACCGTACATGCGATTAGGCAGCCAATCTATAAGGAAAAGGGTGCGCATCCATCTAGCGACTACGGTACCGTACGGAAGGTCTGCCGCGCGGCGAGAAGGCAAACGCGGACGAGACGACGCGTGCTGTAGCGATTGTGCGTCAAGTTAAATGGAATGTACTATAGTACGTCCACATCACACAGCACGCGCTGCGACTCGTCCACGTCTCTGCCCTCTCGCCGCGCGACGGGCCTCCTGACGGGTACCCAAGCGACTAGGCGAGTAGGCGAGTAGGCGACTAGGCAACAGGAGACCCGTCGCGCGGCGATAAGGCACCACCTCGGACGGGTCAGCGAAACAAGTCGCAGCACGGAGGGCCTCCTGCCAGGTACTCCTAGGCGATCGCTCATCTCTATAGCAAACAAATCGATGTGCATCCTTTTCCTCTAGCATACTCGCCTGTTCGCTTAGTCGCCTAATCGATACGTATACTTTCATTTTGAATCATTGCCGAGTCGCATGTACGATTGCCAACTCTGAACGTTGCTTTCGAAATCATTGTTGACGCGCGCGCGAATAATCAATAATCATTGTTACATGGTGCACCAGGAGAACGGTAGTGGTCATGAATGGGTAGAGCCTCTGCGTTTGTCAATGGTTATACGATACACTGCTTCCCCCTCGGGCTCGATCAATACCTATCTGTCTCACGTCCTCCACCAAGCCTGTTTGGTAATATGGACTCTATTGTCGGTCTTGGTCTCTATGTAGGGAATAGGTTGGTGTTGGTTTCAGACTGCCTGTGGAGTGCTGTATTCCTATGGGAGTTCCGAAAAGCTCAGAACGAGGACCCGTTTTGAGGACTGGATTTTAGCTGTACTGGCTTATCCCACTCTCTTGAAAATCGCGACGTGTGTGGTAAAAACGGAATGGAATGGGAAGGAGGACGCGGATTTTTTTCGCACACCGATAATCTCGCTCGGAGTACTGTACACAGAAATCAAAGGGGGTTGCAGCGTAGACAGTGGTGGCTCGCAGCGCAGCTGGTGTATTAGTTTTTGCCGGCATTTGAAGCACCTGTCGAACAGCGACTCAAACATCCCCCTGCAAATTCGGATATAGGTTCAGCCATAGCAAATCGTACCTGATTTGTGATGAGCATCCCTGGAGAAACTGTCGACCAGCCAGTGAGTCCTCCCTCTATCAAATGGCTCTCCCTTCTGAGATGACCTTCGTAAACATATTTGTATAGAATTCGACTGATACTTCTGCGGATAACAACAGCGGTTATCACTGCTTTTCTGGCAGGGTTAACATTGAAGTGTCTATCAACACGCGCGAGCCGCTGAAAAAAATCTGTATGGATTGTGACAACATATGATTTATCCGGTCAAGACTTTAGGTTATCTTATTTCAACCTCTTACGATTAGCCTCCTGGCCCTGCCTTCAACCCATCAATTACCCTACTGCTGGTGATACACAGACGTGCTTCCAATAGTCAATAGAATGAAAGGCAGGATAAGAAGCCGAAGTGTTTGGCAACTCCTAAGACAGGGGGGGGGGGTCTGCCCAACCAGGTTTGCGAATTTGCCACCATATGCCAAGGAAAGAATCAGACTTGCCTGGGTGGGTGAAAATACTGCCTGTACATCAGCTGTCCTCCGCAGGCCATTATTATTGTACGGAATCGAATTCAAAATCGTTCTATGATTCTGAATGGAAGTAGGCGCTCATGTCGTTGCGGGGGGGGGGACAGTTTCAACGTGGGTAAAGCCATTCTAGGCCTTTGTGACTAAGCCTCAGGGAGGGGTAGAGATTTTGGGGGGGGGGGGGACGTGAGTATGATGTGTGCTCGCTAGCATTTCTACACTCTCGCTGAGTTAGTCGGAGGTTGTCACCTTTTCGGGCGGCCTGCTTTAATGTTCACCTCCTTTCTGTTTAGCGACATGCGCGCTTTTCTTTTTTTACTGAAAATGCATGCATGTGCTGCAAAAATGGAAAATCCAGAAGCTGCAGAATCTTTTACATAAAAGCATAAAGGATAAAGCATTTGCCGTTGATCAATCCCTTTTTGGGATGCGGCACGCATTCTACTTCCATTTGTACATTCGTAGTGGCGTTTGAATGCGATGTGGCCTATACAATGACTTGCGGGGCCAGCCGATGTTCAAGTCAGTGTTTTTATCCTCCCAGACAAGTCTGGGGCGCGGACGGCGGGGGGCCCGGCGGGGTCTGGTACCCAATTAACCGACCCCGGAGGGATGGAAGGCTTGGTTGGCCCGGGCGACTCACGACCCAGGATTTGATCCCCGGACCGCTCGCGTGGTAAGCGCGCCACTTGTCACTACACCACTTCCGCCCATTACCATAATGCTATTATTTATTGCTAATAAACGGAATTTTGTACTTCAACTGAATGCATGGTAATAAGAGGACTATTGCAGAATTGTGGGTAAAGCTCTCGAAAACGATACTTAGTAGGCGTTAAGTTTACGCCAAGCATATGCGAACGTAAAAATCGGAAAAGTGCGAAAACTCGGAGCATGTCGGGGAACCAAACCAACAACCCCGAGCAACCCTCGCTAGCCAGAGTCCATAATGCTATCCACTCGACCATGCGACCGCCGGGTGGCAGTTGGATGTCGACGACTGATGAAACTTCCTTATGCTTTTAAGCACCTATTACGTTCAATTTTTGTTTTTGGCTTCATTCGACGTTGTTTTCAATGTCACGTGAAGGAAACCTTCTATCATGCGCCCACTCAACGCCACGAGTGATGTAAATGATAAGGTGAAAGGATTGTATACTGAATGAATGAGAATAGATCAAAGTTGTCATAATCACGGGTTGGTCCGGTTGATGTTTACTTCCAATTGATTACCCTCTTCTGGGTTACCAACCGACAGCTTTCTTTCTGGCAACAGGCCACTTCGAATACAGTCGAGAATGGCAGCGGCTTGTCTTGAACTACTGCGGTTGGATCTCCCTGAGCTTCTTCGGAACTGTTGATGTTCCACTGCACGAGCTAAGTAGTCTAAATAGCAGTAATATTGTAATATGTAATCAATAGATGGATGACAGGTAATAGAGGACTAAACCGTCCAAACAGTAAACACCTTAAGACTTGGGTAATTAAATCATGTACTGCGATTAAACTAATTCAAAAATGGTGACTATAATATGGGAGGTACTTAGAACGGTCCATGAGAAGATTTAGAAATCCCTAGCTTAAGAGATCTAGACGAGATACAGTTCAAGTAAACATGGTGCGAATTTCGCAATGAGTGAGGATCAAAGGCACATAAACAGGCACAGGAATTACATCATCGCCTTAGCATTACTTCGAGTAAAGTATAATTATATAAGTTATACGAATTGTATCCTTCTATTTTATAAAGCGCTAACTTTGTGTGTCGGTATGTATGTATGTATGTATGTATGTATGTATGTATGTATGTATGTATGTATGTATGTATGTATGTATGTATGTATGTATGTATGTATGTATGTATGTATGTATGTATGTATGTATGTATGTATGTATGTATGTATGTGTGTCCGTCCGCAAAATGAAGTGGTAGGGAAACTCGTGAAGTAAACAGACCGTTAACAAAATCGAGTAACTATGACTTTAGCAATCAATGTTTTGCAGTGCTATCAATGTGATAACACCCCAACGGCTATATAAACACCTACTGAGCATGGTCTCATTCATTCCACATGATGCTGCAATAGCAGCTGGAGAGCAGTAGAGGGAATAGGATAAGATGGAGAAGGGCGAGGGGAGCTAACCGCCAAAAGACCTGAGGTCCAATTAATATCATTCTAAGGTCATGTCACGATTACGGTAATGCCTTCTACTATATAAGACACTTTTTTGTGCATGCGTGCCACCTCCACGAGGTGTCCATGTCACCAGTGGATGGGAGCACATTGGAAGGAGTAAAGCTTACGCAGGTAAGGAGGTCCCGGTGGTTGCCGGGGGACCAATCTGGTATAAATATTTACATAAATCAACCTTATAGGAATGTGGCAGGCAGCATGTGCCCGCGCATAGTGGTGTGAAAGCCTATTCGCACAAACGACTGGCGGAAGGTCTGAAAACTGCGACTTCACTGAATAAACTTTTTTCACCATTTTTTTGTGCCATTCGAGGGCCGCTTTAGGAAGAACTGGGAGCGCTTGTGCTTGCGCAGTCCTATGCATGCTTTTTTTTTTTTCTTCTTTCCTACCAGTTTATTATGCATAAATAACCGTTTTCAAAACGATGCTTTATGTCCTGAATGCTTTCTGAGAAGTACCAAAGCACTCAACTTATTTCCATTTTTTTTTGGTATTTTTAACACGTTGACGACAACGCGCGTTTTGGGTTTTTGCGCCGCGTGGGACCACGGCGATTTTGCAGGCGCCGCCGCCTCACATCAAATCCGTGAATTTTGAGCTTTAAATACCCAAAACTCGGATGCAACAAAATGTTTAGAATGATATTCGATGTGTCAAACTTATCAGAAGGGACAACTGTAAAAAATCGATCGAATTGACGTTTTCTGGCGATGAAAGGCAAGTTTCAGTTGCTTTTGCTGCAGTGAACCTCAAAATTATTTTTGACGCGGTTGCTCCACTAAAAACATATGTCTTGCTATATGTGTGGGTCTGTACTTACTTCTACTGCTCTTTTTTATGACCAAGATTATCAGAATATAAAGGAAACTAGGAATGAACACAATTGGGAAATTCGTAGGGCTTAGAAAACCTTCGCTAAAAAAGGAGCATATTCAACCATTCAATGAACCTCGCCGTGTCTAGTCATATTATGGTGTAGTCTATGGAATAGATGCAAAAAATTAGAAAAGAAGTAGCGCATGCGCGAAAAAAATAAATATTTTGTGTGTGCAGCGCATGCGCTGCACACGGTCCCACACGGTGCTCAAGGTGTGATGCGCATGCGCTGCACAATGTCGTCAACGTGTTAAAGAAGTATCCTGCAACTAATTTTCATTCATTCTATTTTAAGAGTAGAAGCGCGTCCGAGGGGACAGACTAAACAAGTGTGAAAAGTTGGATATTCAAAGGAAAGTTTTGCTTTGGAAACCAAGCTACCACAGCATAACCGTCAATCGAAAGAGAAAATTTTAAAACAGCGACACACTTCTTGAAGCATTTAATAGTGGAATGTTAAGGAGTGGTCGTGGCTAAGTAAAGAATACATTACTGAGTGATTTGGTTCAGAAGTGCACAGAGTTCGAGTCACTTGCCGGTTCGGTTACTACTCGTTTTTCTGATTTCCCCATTTTTACCGATATCACCAGTGTTTGGATGTGTACACTTGAACACTCCGCGTAAGTCCAAAATAAGCATGCCTTGCTTGACTCCCTACCAAGCCTAATTCTTTCTCAGGGCGTCCACAACGTCCTTTGGTGGGCTCAGCATGGGGTGCGAACTCGGAGACCGGTTCCTTGTCAGCGGCAGTGATAACGATTTGATAAGTCACCGATGTGTAATGTAGTCGTGACAGCAAAGAAGCAGTTAACCTTGCTGTAGATGTAAAGGCCACCGGGGCGGAAATTCGCCACCAAACATGTGCTTATTGTCACGATGAAAATCAATAGTCGACGACCTATTAACAAGGAAATGGTCTAGTGATATATCCTATCAGCAGTGCACATTCCGAAAGTCACTGATCAACATTGATTGGCAGGTATATTAACACCTCGCATTCCGTTGCGCCACTCAAGGTCGTTACTACGGAAAGGATGACGTTTTTTTCTACTGCACACCTTGATTCGTCTGTAGGAATTCCGCTGTTTAAACGTGCCAAGCATAAGTTCGCAGTGAAGAGAGTGGCCTTTGGTTGAGCCATGCACTCGTCATCTATCCAAAAACAGGAGACTGCATAAGTACATTGAACGTTGCCTTAGCTGTAGCTCTGCAGGAGATACCAAGAGCGCATTCTGAAGGGTCGTTTTGTGGCATCAAATCATCGGTAGCAAAGGGAAAATGAGGGTCACACTTCCGAGTGGCGAGACGAATAAGTTCTAATCCAGCCGTCTTTGTTGCAGCAGCGTTCACGAGGCACCGTTCGTTTTCGACTTTGAGCCGCAAGCCTTCAATGGGATTCCAGAATATCTGTCAATTGTTCCTATTTTTTATTGGTTTGCTCTTTTATTCAAAACCTTTAAAAAAGCAAAAGTAAAAAAAGAAGTAAAGTAAAGAAGAAGGAGCAGGCTTTTCTTTTCTTTACTTACTTTCTTTTCATTTCTAAGTTATCAGTGGGATTTTTGAACGACCAGTCTTCGATCTACATCAACCCTGAATTGAAATAATAAAGCTCAGGAAGCCTTCAATACCACGTAAGTAAAAAAAAAAGTCTGAAAATCATCACTCTTAAACTCCAGACACAAGTATTTTCAAGAATGGATCTAAAAGGCTTTTATCTGACTGCTTTTTGATCCACTACTCACCCGTAGTCACATGTGAGTCCGACAGTGAGAGACGCGTGCTGTTGTGACGCGGTCCAATGCGTGTTTGCTCTGATAGCTGGCAATCAAAAAACAATATCGAGTAAGTGAAATAACATGGGCTGCAAAAAAGCCCATAATAAGTTTCCCGCAAGCCACCAGTGATGGCTACCACTTTATTTAACCATAAATTTTATTCGAGCCTGTGATACTCAAAATTCCGAAGACAAAGCACCAAACTTCTTTATTAAAATCAGAGAATTCGGCAGCAACTCAGCATACACCGGAAAGCTGACGTGCGTTGGCAGGATAGGAAATGGCTTGAAACACGTGATTAAGGAAAGGGGAAAAGAGCGAGGAATCGGATCTGAGAAGACGCTATACAACGTGATACTGCAGCTAAGTACCGTAACCCGGCGCTAAAAGCTAAAATATGTAGAGAAATGGAATCTAGAGCAAGACAAACACAACTAGACACAAACACATAAGAAGAATACAAAATAACGGCCCTGTATCAAAATGAAAGCGTGAACGAAGCAGTGTTAAGTTGGGAAAGTGACAGCGAAAGGGTGTTCGTGCGTGCGTGTCGACGCGCGTGCACACACACGTCTACTATGAACACCAAAGCGCCCAGAGGAAACACTTAAGGACTATATATGACGAGAAAAAAGAATCCCGAGAAAAGAATCCGAGTCCAATCCGAAACATCTACAATTTGCGGAATCGTCGACGCATCTTGCGTAGCTTGAAACGCCGTCGTCGTTTCGAGCCTTTGCCCCACGCGCCTGGAACGAACGACTTAGTGTGCCAATGTTCGAGCCTTGATGGCTTCAATTATCAAGAATCCTCCGAGAAGGAAGAAAATGCCTTAATAAAATCTTACCTATGACGAAACTCTCGATTTCACAATGATTTTCGCCTCTGAGAATGCGGAACAGACCGTCTTCACCCCATTGTCGTCCCCACGAATTGGCTGCCAGCCAATAGGGAATCGCACGTCCTGTTGAATGGTCCACTCCCCATCTGAAGGCAGCAAATCAATAACTTGGAATACAAAGAATTCTATAAAATTGAGAATCAAAATTATTGAATGATTTCTGAGGAGGAGAACGATAAGGCTGTCCGACGGGGTTATTCTGGATGTGACAGAAGGTAAAAGGATTGTCTTAGGACTGAGGCTTATTGGCCTATGGTTTTTGGGGCCGGCAGCCGGGCATAAAGGCTGCTAACGAAGACTAGTGGTAACTTTTTTTTGTTTGTTAACTGCTGTTTTTGGCCGCAGTTCGCCTTGCGAATGTTTCACAAGAATGCTGGGTTGTGAAGCAAAACTTTGTTTTTGTTTATTTGTTTTTTTTTGACAAGAGTTTCTGTTCACAACCCAGCATTCTTGTGAAACTGGTGGTAGTTTTCTTCATAAGGTTCGCAACACCATGCGTGACATTTGGGACACTCTGCTCACCTGCTGGAATCAGTGGCTTTGGAGGTGAAAAGTCTCCGAAACAAATCCATTGCGATAAGGTACCCGACGGCTGGTTCTGATGACTTAAAGACTCATAACCCTTCGTTACAACCCTAACCCTCACTCTAAAAGCGTCATTGTGTATGGGTCAAAACTCAAAAAACGCTTGGATGGGGCTTTCAACGGACTGATGATTAGAGTTGCGTATAGGGTGAAGACTGTCCTCGCTAGATGGTGCGAAAGTTATGAAACTAGTGCGGATCGTGATACAGTCGATATCCGAAAGTTGGGGTAGGCGTGTCACCGGAAGTGACGTGCACTTGATAGAAGTTGCGTGGATAAGCTGTTGCCAGCATGCTTTGC